TGGCTATTAAACGATATAAAACTTTAACTAAACGACAAGAACCCTGTTGATACATCGCATTTTCCGCGCAGACACCCATTTTTCACAATTTTGTCAAAGTTTGGATACCTTTCTTGACTACTTCCGGTGATTAGGGGATTTTCATTTATAGTTCATGGACTGGTCTGGTCCTTCGACTACATATTCCTGAAGTTTCAGAAAAATCGTTGGAGCCGTTTTAAAAAAATAAAAACTCTACGATTTGACCAAAATGCGAAAAAAAGTGAAAAATCAAAGTCAATATTTCAGAAAAAAACTTATATTGTTGGAATCGGATTGATGTCAGCTATCCAAAAATATACCTGAAATTTAAAAATTCCCAAAAACAAAAAATTTGAAAAATTTGGAAAATTTTCCATTTTTCACCAAAAAAATTAGAGCGACAAAGTTTATAAATTCCACAGTTTTGAACTGCTATCTGCTCAGAAATGTCTCCAGCTATCCAAAAATGTAAATATCTGAAGAATCCATTGAGTTGCTGAGATCTAGCTTCCCCCAATAAAAAAAAAATAATAATAATAACTAGATCTGCTAACCAGCTATTAAAGCTTTCATATTCACAGTCACTGTCACATGTCATAGAAATAATATGAACAGAAAAAAAAAATCATTATAATGAGTAAAAATTTGGTGAAGTTAATTCGATTTTTCACTGGTAAATAATTAAATAGACAAGTGGCATAACTTGACCCGCATCCCATCAGCTATCCTGAAAAATGCTGGAAAAATTAAACAAGTAAATTGTGTTTAGTACTGGGTTAATTAAGACAGGCATATGCCTTTGCTATACAGGATGACATGAGGGAAATTTAGCTTGGGAGGTGTAGGCCTGCAGCCAAAATTTCTAGCTAGCTTAGAAACACAACTCCGCTACACGGTCTTCCATAAAAGAAAAACTATACATTTTTGGAAAGCTTATGATGCCAGGAAGACAAAATCTGGGAGTTCCAAGCAAAATGTTTGCAATTTATTGATTTAGGGCCAGATGAAATTCGTCAAAACTGTCAAATAAATGCTATTTGTGTACTAACAATTCTGAAGTTGACATAAAATTAAATAGTTGGTAAAACACCTCATGCCTTCATCCTTGGCAATGAACAGTTTATTGGACAGATTTTGATGTAAATAAAAATGCTCAAAACACAAATGTCATGGGTGAATAAAGAATTGTGGAAATCCATTAACGGTAAAAAAGAATTATCCCCCTTTCTGTCAAATGCCTGTAATTGATAGACTATCAGGTCTTGTATGAATCATAAGACCAGGTGTGGGCAAACAAGCCCAATAATTATTTTGTTTGTTGGATCTCAAGGGCCTGTTAGGGTTGGTTGTTGGATGTTTGCTCAGAAATTATCGCTTGTATGGAACATGCTAGAGTCGATTTGTAGCATATTCTAGCCAGGGGATATGTTTGACAGTAGTTGAGTGATATGCTTTTGAAATAATGGAGATCAGTAGCACTTTATAAGCATTGAACCACATGATTTTTTTCCACTAAGATAAACATTCTAAACCCACATACATGTTCCCTTTCAATTAGCCACTACAGTATTTTTACAACTGTACATGTAGCTGTGAACTACTATTTCGGATATGATTAATGGTCAAATTACAAACATACATGTAGATATAAGTTAAAAAAAATAATTGTGTATCTGGGCTGGAATGAAGGGAAAGGTTAGAAAACAGGATGAACAGTTGTGAAATTATTTATTAAAGTGAAACAATCATTGAAAATCAAAATTAAACAGTTACTCTGCACATCAAATGTCATCAAAGTTAATCTTCATTATCATCATCACTGTCACTAAATGTATTAACATCAAATTCGGTCTCTTTAACAGTTTTTTTTTCATTTTCACATTGACTACACATGCACAGGTCTGTACAAGAAAGGGGGGTTGGGATGGCCTAGAGTGCCGCGCTTCGACCTCTAGCTGGTCGGTCACCTCTGGCTTGTGGCTGTGGCTTTGATCCCAGGTGTGAGCGTATGTGGCATGGAGATAGAGGCGTCTTCTCAACCTCGTGGGTTTCCTCCGGGCACTCCGGTTTCCTCTCACTGCTAAAGACCCATACGCGCAAGCGAATTATTGAAATAAAATTGAAACCGTATGTTAGTCCCAAAATGACCTAGTTTGTGTTGAGTGGACGTTAAACCCCATTTCTCTCTCTCTCTCTCTCTGTACAAGACAACTTTGCTGGCCATTTATGATTCTTTCTCTTATGACATCTTCACAGAATATATTGTATGTAATAACTTGATTCAAAATCGTATTATAGCCCCAACGACGATTTGATGAATGGAGACCGGAACGTTACGACAAAGTCTAACACTGTAAGTACCAAATAGTCATACGAGATATGTGCATCTCATCAAATTCAGCTTATACCATACCCACAATAGTGTTACGGAGTCAGTGAGTTCAAGTTAGACAATACGCTGACCTTCCACTGACCATGCTTATAATATAAAATCTGTCAATGACAGCTGATTCATTGTTTAGTTTTTTATATGATATATTTAATATCAATAATATATGTATATGCATGCTTTATTTTACTTTACACGACCTCTAAAAATGCCCCAAATCGTAAAAATACGACTTTTTGGATTTCGATCTCCTTTTTTCGGCTACCCCGGACATTTTCAAAAAATGATACAATGATTTCACACAACAGGCCAGCTATTAGCCTCTCGATTGACAAGAGTTTCATCGCCCTCCATTCATTATAACCAATGTCATCGTGCCCTAAAGAATCAACAAATCAGCTTGCTTATCTCTGCTTACCCTAGGCAAAAAATTCTCATCTTTGAACTCAATCATGACATTGACCTAGTGAACGCCTACACCAAGTTTGAACATTCTAGCTTAATTAGAAGGAGAGTTCTTGTGTTCCAAAGTCCCGGCCCTTCAAATTGCTTCTATTTTTCATTTTCAATTCAAAATGGTGACCATCACGTGACCGAAATCAAAATTCTGATCCGATAGATTTTTAGGCATTCCTTCCAGGATTCCGAAAATATGACGCCCGAGTCTGTAAGTAAAATAGCAAAAAAGCCTTTTTGATTTTTCACGTTTAAAGATGGTGGCACTTCCGGTTCGATCGACAAACTCCATATTTTGTGTACGAATCAGTAATTACTTGTCTAGTATCGAATTTTTTTTTTAGGTCATTCTGACCTATATTTTGACGATTTTTTTGAAAACTTTGATCCTTAATTTCACCAAGGGGAGATAATTTAGAAAATTTCCAAGGACATCATTGAAGTCGCATTGGCAAGATCTACTAACATTCTAAATTTCACGAAAATCGCACAACTATTAAAGAAGTTGTCAAATTGGTAATAACTTCCGGTTCGAAATGACAGCGACGAATTTTCGAAATGCCAAAATCCGAAATTGCAGATTTGAAGTAAATGTTTCAAGATACTCAAAGAAAAAAGAATTAGTAAAATAGGTCAAATAGTCACAAAGTTACAGCATTGTAGGTCAAATGCATTCCTTCGTAAAATTCGGTGATTTCGGATTCGTAAAACGTTTTGAAAATATATTTAATCAACAGCCACCACCCATTTTTGGGGGGATAGGTAAAAGTTTCAGAACGATCCTACGGTTAGATTCTGAGAAATCCGATTTGTGGACAAAACACAAAAAAAAAATAACAATAATAATCTTAACAGAAACAATAAGCTTTCATATGTAATATGAAAGCTTAACTAGATCTGCTAAGCAGATATTAAAGCTTTCATATTCACAGTCACTGTCACATGTCATAGAAATAATATGAACAGAAAAAAAAAATATCATTATAATGAGTAAAAATTTGGTGAAGTTAATTCGATTTTTCACTGGTAAATAATTAAATAGACAAGTGGCATAACTTGACCCGCATCCCATCAGCTATCCTGAAAAATGCTGGAAAAATTAAACAAGTAAATTGTGTTTAGTACTGGGTTAATTAAGACAGGCATATGCCTTTGCTATACAGGATGACATGAGGGAAATTTAGCTTGGGAGGTGTAGGCCTGCAGCCAAAATTTCTAGCTAGCTTAGAAACACAACTCCGCTACACGGTCTTCCATAAAAGAAAAAACTATACATTTTTGGAAAGCTTATGATGCCAGGAAGACAAAATCTGGGAGTTCCAAGCAAAATGTTTGCAATTTATTGATTTAGGGCCAGATGAAATTCGTCAAAATTGTCAAATAAATGCTATTTGTGTACTAACAATTCTGAAGTTGACATAAAATTAAATAGTTGGTAAAACACCTCATGCCTTCATCCTTGGCAATGAACAGTTTATTGGACAGATTTTGATGTAAATAAAAATGCTCAAAACACAAATGTCATGGGTGAATAAAGAATTGTGGAAATCCATTAACGGTAAAAAAGAATTATCTCCCTTTCTGTCAAATGCCTGTAATTGATAGACTATCAGGTCTTGTATGAATCATAAGACCAGGTGTGGGCAAACAAGCCCAATAATTATTTTGTTTGTTGGATCTCAAGGGCCTGTTAGGGTTGGTTGTTGGATGTTTGCTCAGAAATTATCGCTTGTATGGAACATGCTAGAGTCGATTTGTAGCATATTCTAGCCAGGGGATATGTTTGACAGTAGTTGAGTGATATGCTTTTGAAATAATGGAGATCAGTAGCACTTTATAAGCATTGAACCACATGATTTTTTTCCACTAAGATAAACATTCTAAACCCACATACATGTTCCCTTTCAATTAGCCACTACAGTATTTTTACAACTGTACATGTAGCTGTGAACTACTATTTCGGATATGATTAATGGTCAAATTACAAACATACATGTAGATATAAGTTAAAAAAAATAATTGTGTATCTGGGCTGGAATGAAGGGAAAGGTTAGAAAACAGGATGAACAGTTGTGAAATTATTTATTAAAGTGAAACAATCATTGAAAATCAAAATTAAACAGTTACTCTGCACATCAAATGTCATCAAAGTTAATCTTCATTATCATCATCACTGTCACTAAATGTATTAACATCAAATTCGGTCTCTTTAACAGTTTTTTTTTCATTTTCACATTGACTACACATGCACAGGTCTGTACAAGAAAGGGGGGTTGGGATGGCCTAGAGTGCCGCGCTTCGACCTCTAGCTGGTCGGTCACCTCTGGCTTGTGGCTGTGGCTTTGATCCCAGGTGTGAGCGTATGTGGCATGGAGATAGAGGCGTCTTCTCAACCTCGTGGGTTTCCTCCGGGCACTCCGGTTTCCTCTCACTGCTAAAGACCCATACGCGCAAGCGAATTATTGAAATAAAATTGAAACCGTATGTTAGTCCCAAAATGACCTAGTTTGTGTTGAGTGGACGTTAAACCCCATTTCTCTCTCTCTCTCTCTGTACAAGACAACTTTGCTGGCCATTTATGATTCTTTCTCTTATGACATCTTCACAGAATATATTGTATGTGGTTTAATATTCGACGGAGGGCTAGTCATCTTTGCTGAAAAATATAAATAAACATATACATGTACACAATTAAAACAAAATTCTGGAGCTTGGTTTACTCTCATTAATTTCGTACAACAGAGGAAAAAGACACTTACACAGGGGTTAACATCTTATTTTCATGCAGAAACCAGCTAATGAAGACAGGAAGGCATTAGCAGTACAAGGAGAGATAGAGAGGAGAATTGCGGTTTAACGTCCACTGGACAAAAACATAGTAATTTCAGGACTCACCCATGGTTCAGTTTTATTTGAATAATACCAGTGGCAAGAAGGCGGAGAATACAAATAAAAAAAACATCACAAATATTTACCTTTCTGATAACTGTCTAAGAAATTCAGTACATGTATATTGCCTATAACATTTTTGGTGATATCTGACCTCAATGGCCACACAATCTTGCCCTCTGATATGCCTTAAAATATCTTCATCCTCTTTCAATTCAGCAGCTTTCAACAGTTGGCCTACAAACAAATTTGCAAACAAATTATACACCATATAGCGTTGAATGTTGTTTGTGCTCAAAGGAGGGGGAGGGAATGTCACTTTGAGGCCTACATGTACATGTACCTGGCTGGTCAACTCTGGCATGCGGTTTAGTTCAGATCCTTTGTGTGAGCGGAAATGGTCTAGAGACAGATCGTCTTAGCAAGGCACCTACAAGTGGGCCAAGAAAATAAAAAACAAGTTAACTTCTCTATGTTTCATCCCTTGTGCAAGCAAATGTGCAACACTTTAACCAATGACTGTGCCAAATCAACAAATGGGGTAAAGGGCTTTACTGGCTAGCTTCATAACAATTTTACAGTGATTGCAGTAGCACTTCTGATTCCATTTACAACAAAAACAACAACACAATAATTAAAAACTGTAGGATGAATATATTTAATATTTATTAGTAATAATTATAAATTTAGTAAGTAACATAATATTAACATTAGGCCTACCTGAGCCTGTTTGGGTCTGAGTCTGTGTTAATACATCCTTCTTCCTATTTTCTCCAACAGTGACAAATCTGTCACGTTTTTTACATATAATACACACAACAGGCAGCACCGATTTACTCTTTCTTTTTGCTTCAGGAGCGTAATTTGTTTGGAGAGCTAGGTCCCAGATCGTCTACACTCCCGCTATTCCCTGGTTGGATTGTAGCCGGGGATGGGCAGACCCAATTCGGAATTTGTCTGTAAAAGGCCTGTAGCATGTTGGGTGAAATCCAGTATCTTTTGGCGCGTCGATAAATTCCTTGTTTGATTATATCACCCGAAGTCGCCTGTTCAGCTATCCATTTCGCTCGCCCATCAAGTTTTAGCCATTCATGGGCACATTCACGGAATTTATCCCAGCGAGATTTTGTAAATAATTGTTCTCGTTCCTTTCTAAATCCTTGGTAATGATGCATAGTATAGTACACTATGTTAAAAAAATACTAGAAATGTATGTTTCTTTATCACCAAATGATTTATGTAAGTTGTGAAGTAAAACAGTTGAACATTAAATCCCATTTCAATTTATTTGCATGAGGTGAAGAGAAATAATGGTATTGAACAATTGACTATTCATGAAAGATACTAAAGAGAACTTTATTAATTTATACATACTTTTGCTAATTTTATTGTTATATCTTGGTAGTAACATACCAATATAAATAGTAATATTGTTTCTAGATGAAGACTATTATAATTGAAATGAAATGGGATTTCACATCATAATGCTATGCACGGACTGGGCTAATAATGACAAAAAACTACAATGAATACAATAGTATAAAATGTTGCTATGAAATTAAATAAATGTTGTATACAATAATTAACCGGTTTAATACTATATTATACATAAAAGTGAATGAAATTCAATGTTTACTATTTTGCTTTATACATGAATATCACAGGTCAAATTATTGAAATAAATAATGCAAATAGATTATGATTTGAAACATCTTGTATGTCATTGTTCTATTTGTTATATAAGACTACATGATATAAACTTTTTGATAAGCCTCTTTTATCATATTTTGAACCAATGGAATAAAGAGCAAAGACCTAGAATATATTGTAAATATAATCAGGTTTTTGATCAACTGATCAAAGGAAAATATTGCGAATAAATTTGTTGTACTGCTATTGTAAAGAAATCATCATTGTTTTATTTGATATTTAGAATACACATAATCGTGTATATATTTGAAGTTAAGAGCAATTATGATTAGTGATACCTGTATGACCAACTCTCAAAAGATAATCTCATTAAACCAAGTACTTTTTTTCATTTGTATTAGTTGATTTATACTGAATAAAGATAACACAAACAAACAAAAATGAGTTGGCTGTGTGAACACCTCAATGACAAGTGGTATCAGATGCCTCAGAGAGAATATTCAAATGCTCCTTGTGATACGTTTGTAACACAATTATAACCTAATGTATTACACGGGAGTGGAGTGGGTGGGTCGGGGGGCTTTTCGATTGGCAGGGGACTATTAAAATGGGTAAGCAGAGATAAGCAATTTGATGAAACTTTGTGTATAGTTTCATTACATTAGTACCTTGACCATATTACCTTGACCAAGTTCGACAATGAGCATTCTCTTAGTCAGGATAAGCAAAGCAACTTGATTGGCCGGGACTTTGAATTGGTTAATGCTTTGGGGTATGATAACTTTGGTTATAATGAAGTACTGGAACATAACAACCCAGCTTTTAATTGAGCTAGAATGTTTAAACTTGGTGTAGATGTTCATCAGGTCTTGACTGAACATTTTGAGCTACAGCTTGGCAATTTCATTGGTCGATGCTTTGGGACAAGATAACCTTGATTTCTATCTGACAGAGAGTGATGAAATTTACAGTATAGTTTGATTGCTCGATACTTTTGAAAAAAATATGAAAGTGCGATTAATTAATGTGTCATCTTTTACTTTGGGGTTTTGGCGGGAGACATCAGCCATACTGTTTGCTTGTTTAATATCCCCTATACAATATACGCTCGACCTCATTACCCGAACTGGGGTAGAAAAGTGGGATCTTTGACAATGAGGCAATGAACTTGTACATTCTTTTGCAGCTGCACAAGAGGGAACATCAACGCCGGATTAACCATGGTGGTGGGGAGGGGGGCTGATACCGACCGTGAAGCCCCGCAAGGGTCAGGGGGTTCTCCCGCTAAGAAATTTTAATTGGAGGCCGAAAACGTGATTTCATGGCATTTCAGGCACTTGTGTCGGAGCCATTTAGAAATACCTCCCCCAGAAAAATAAAATTCTGCCACAAAATTAGCCACAATCCATGCGGGTGCTGTGAAATTTCTAGAGGAGGGAGCTGGAACCCATGAGCCCGTTAAATTCGCCACTGTAAATGAGCAGAGCTACATCAAACCTAATTTTGAGTCCCTCAGTGATAAATAACTTGATTCAAAATCGTATTATAGCCCCAACAACGATTTGATGAATGGAGACCGTAACGTTACGACAAAGTCTAACACTGTAAGTACCAAATAGTCATACGAGATATGTGCATCTCATCAAATTCAGCTTATACCATACCCACAATAATGTTACGGAGTCAGTGAGTTCAAGTTAGACAATACGCTGACCTTCCACTGACCATGCTTATAATATAAAATCTGTCAATGACAGCTGATTCATTGTTTAGTTTTTTATATGATATATTTAATATCAATAATATATGTATATGCATGCTTTATTTTACTTTACACGACCTCTAAAAATGCCCCAAATCGTAAAAATACGACTTTTTGGATTTCGATCTCCTTTTTTCGGCTACCCCGGACATTTTCAAAAAATGATACAATGATTTCACACAACAGGCCAGCTATTAGCCTCTCGATTGACAAGAGTTTCATCGCCCTCCATTCATTATAACCAATGTCATCGTGCCCTAAAGAATCAACAAATCAGCTTGCTTATCTCTGCTTACCCTAGGCAAAAAATGCTCATCTTTGAACTCAATCATGACCTTGACCTAGTGAACGCCTACACCAAGTTTGAACATTCTAGCTTAATTAGAAGGAGAGTTCTTGTGTTCCAAAGTCCCGGCCCTTCAAATTGCTTCTATTTTTCATTTTCAATTCAAAATGGTGATCATCACGTGACCGAAATAAAAATTCTGATCCGATAGATTTTTAGGCATTCCTTCCAGGATTCCGAAAATCGGACGCCCGAGTCTGTAAGTAAAATAGCAAAAAAGCCTTTTTGATTTTTCACGTTTAAAGATGGTGGCACTTCCGGTTCGATCGACAAACTCCATATTTTGTGTACGAATCAGTAATTACTTGTCTAGTATCGAATTTTTTTTTTAGGTCATTCTGACCTATATTTCGACAATTTTTTTGAAAACTTTGATCCTTAATTTCACCATGGGGAGATAATTTAGAAAATTTCCAAGGACATCGTTGAAGTCGCATTGGCAAGATCTACTAACATTCTAAATTTCACGAAAATCGCACAACTATTAAAGAAGTTGTCAAATTGGTAATAACTTCCGGTTCGAAATGACAGCGACGAATTTTCGAAATGCCAAAATCCGAAATTGCAGATTTGAAGTAAATGTTTCAAGATACTCAAAGAAAAAAGAATTAGTAAAATAGGTCAAATAGTCACAAAGTTACAGCATTGTAGGTCAAATGCATTCCTTCGTAAAATTCTGTGATTTCGGATTCGTAAAACGTTTTGAAAATATATTTAATCAACAGCCACCACCCATTTTTGGGGGGATAGGTAAAAGTTTCAGAACGATCCTATGGTTAGATTCTGAGAAATCCGATTTGTGGACAAAACACACAAAAAAAATAACAATAACTAGATCTGCTACTGTCCCATGCAGATATGAAAGCTTTCATATTCATCGTCACGTGACATGGATTATATCAAGTATCTTAAAAGAAAAAAGAACAACAAAAAATAATTATCAAAATCGGTGAAAAAGTCGCGAAGTTACAAGTCTAAATATAGTGAGAAACATTGCACCCGGGCAACAAAATAATCTGAAAACTAAAGGGAAATAACTGAGAGTTGGATTGCTGTAATCGGTATGACTTTCCGTTCCAGAAGTTTCAGAAAAATGGATCAAGCCGTTTAAAAACGGGACGGATGAGAACATGAAACGAAAATGGCGGGAATGAACTAAAAAGGGGCAGGAAAATATCAAAAAAATAAATGAAATAACTTTGAACGGAACTAACATTGTTTGAATCAGATTGACCTTAGCTGTTCGAATATTTAGGTTAAATTTGTAAATTTTGAAAATTAAAGGCATAAATTGTCCTGTTAACAACTTTGTCGGCACGTAAAAGGTCAAAGGCGAAATACGAAATTTTGAAAATTTTCTAACACCAAAAAATCAATCTTGATCCCGGGCTATCATGAAATGCATTAATTTCAGAAATAAGAGACGCATTGAACATATTACAGCCTATTGTGTTTTATTTTCACGTCTGTTCAAGTGGATTTTTCACTGTTCTTCATATTCAATTCCAAATGCAGACCATCTGTTGACCGAAAATCTTCTTTTTTTTTTGCTAAAACTCTATTTTTTTAATCGGATCAAAATGGGAGTCCGGGGTGGCATTGGGCGTATTGTGTCCAAATTTCATGGTTTTCGGACAATCGGTGCCGGTGTCGTGGCGATATTCCACTTTTTTCGCACTTACTGAAGCCGTAAATGGCGGAAAAAGCCGAACGACAGGAACCGTGCCAAGAACAAACGACTTGAACGAATGCAGGTATCACCTTGAATTTCTCAGGGAACCTGGGTACCAGCGTGAAAAGTTCCTCGCCGGAATTTGGTACTCATGGTACCTTTGGTTCCAGCGTAGCGCATGCGCGAAGTCAAAACCAGCTAAACTCAAAGCAACCTTGTCGGCACGGAAAACATCAAAGGTGAAATTCGAATTTTTGAAATATTCAAATACCAAACATTCGACCATGAGCCAGGCTATCCTGAAATGTATTAATTTCGGTAATAGGAGACAGATTCTCTAAGTCACGACCAATTGTGTGGGTTTTCAAGCCCATTAATGTGAATTTTTCACTATTTTTCATATTCAATTCAAAATGGCGTCCATCAGTTGACCTTAATCAAAATTCTACTGCCTACATTTTATGGGCTTTCCTTCAAGGATTTGGAAAATATAT